TGGTTCCTCTGATATCAACAATGGTAGCTCCGTTTAAGGCTTTTGGAAAATAGGAAGACATCATTGGAGCTGTACTCACATGATGGAATCACAGGGAAATCCAATTCTATCAAGAAAGATCCTTTTGCTTGTTTGTAGTCATACAACTCTAAAGTCTCTGAAACCTTTTTAGCAGTTAGTATCTCGGAGCTGGTGGCAAACTCTACTGTGTCCTTACAAACCAAGCCATCTGAGAAGAGAGTGTGAGTGTTGCATGAGCACAGAGATCCACCTGTACAAGAAAGTATTTGAGCTCATGTCATCATCTCAAATTTTCCACAAAATTGAGTCCTGAAAACCTCGATGATCGGAGTGAACCACCGTAGAAAGAAACGTGGTGGATGAGAGCCAGTGACCGGGATAACAAAACAAGTACAACCGGAATGTTAAATTCAGCTGCAAGAGACTGAAGCCAAGAGTCATCTCTCTCATTGTCCTCATCAAGAAAGCACACTACTGCTGGATTTATAATTGACTTGTTTCAGAATATGTCGAAAAATCTTGACTTTTGAAGTAAGAGATTACGCTAAGACAGAGCCTTCCATGACAGTCACAGCTTTGCCAGTGAGAAAAACTCTCTGCTTCTCCTTATCATAATGCACCTTTGAGTGTTCCGCTCCTACGCAGGTGAGATAGTGTTGGTGTTGGTGAGATAGTTAACGAATAAGGCAACTATCTCATAAGGCTCGTCTCTATAGGTTTTAGGAGTGTTTGGATATAGGAACAGAAAATAACCTGGTAGTGTGTGAACTTGGCTCGATTGAGATAATGAAACCACACAATTTGGGTAATTGTATTCCTGATTTCACTTTGGTTCTTCTTTTTTTGTTTTTCTTCTGCTTTCACAAGTCAAAAGTCAACGACACAGCTACAAGACTTTTGTCAATGGCGGCACACGATCACGATCACGATCAAGGCCCCAAGTTGGAGATTTCTTGATTTTTTTTCTCCGTACAGTTTTGGTCTTCTTGCGATTGATTCTCCAACATAACCAATCTATCTATTATCGTAGGAAATCTGAGGGTGGTAAGGTGTACCATAGCCACGATGGACTCGCACCGCACTCACACGAACCCATCTACTCCCCCGGCTACTTCAGCCGCAGAGCTCCTCCTCTTCACGACCGTAACTTCTCCGAGAGAGCTTTTACCGTCGGCATCGGCGGTCCCGTTGGCACTGGGTAATGTTCCAAAAGATATTATCTTTTTTTTTTGTAAATTGGATTTTGCTCATACATTTTTGGTCTAATTATCCAGGAAAACGGCATTGATGCTTGCTCTTTGTAGATTCTTGAGGGACAAATATAGTCTTGCTGCTGTAAGTAAATATTATTATCCGACTCCGAGGCTGATTATGAGTGAACTCCTCCTCCTAACTCCTAAGTCCTCAATTGTTGTATAGGTGACGAATGATATATTCACGAAAGAGGACGGCGAGTTTCTGGTGAAGAATGGGGCTCTACCTGAGGAAAGGATAAGAGCTGTTGAAACCGGTGGATGTCCACACGCAGCGATACGTGAAGACATAAGTATCAATCTTGGTCCTCTTGAGGACTTGTCTAACTTATTCAACACTGATTTGCTTCTCTGTGAATCCGGTGGAGGTTGTTTTGCTATTTCGTCTACCTTGCTGCTTAGTTAGTTATATACATATGTTTTGGTTCTGTTTTCAATGAGGTGTTGTGTGTTTGTTTGCTAGATAATCTAGCTGCGAATTTCAGCAGAGAACTAGCTGACTATATCATCTACATCATCGATGTATCCGCCGGTGATAAAATACCCCGTAAAGGCGGTCCTGGAATCACTCAAGCTGATCTTCTGGTGATAAACAAGACAGACCTTGCAGCTGCTGTTGGGGCTGACTTATCTGTCATGGAACGCGATTCGCTGCGTATGCGTGATGGAGGGCCATTCGTCTTTGCTCAGGTGAAGCATGGGCTTGGCGTCGAGGAAATCGTCAACCATGTCTTGCATTCATGGGAACAAGCCACCGGGAACAAGCGCCATTGAAAGAACCGAATGGAAAAACACTTTTCTTGAACTCTGTTTATGCAGGAAAGCTTTTATGTATCTGTTTGTTTGAGACTCATTATCATTGGGAATGATTTGTATTCTAGTTAATATGTCCTCGCTTACATAATCTGATTCAACTTTTTGTTCGAGGATTTAAAATCTTTGACTTTTCAATTGATGATGAAACTATGACATATAATTTAATCACAGCCACATCTTTCCCAGTGAGAAACTAAGTATCTGCTTCTCCTTATGATCATGAACTTTCACTTTTCCACTCCTACGTGAAGCCTAATTAAACAAGCAAATTTTCTGATTCTGTTAATCTGGTTGATGCTTCTTAATTAGTTACCGTGCTGGCTACGAAAACACACTTGCTCATCTTGAAGCAACATCAATGTGCTAATAAACAATGTCCACTTCTACACACAAAGTCTTGAAGGAACAAAGAGCAGAGCCAACGAAGCAAAGGTAAAAACTTTAGATGTTTTCGTTTGCGCAGGGTTTGTTAGACTGCAGAAGCAAGAATATAAGGGTTTGCTTTTAGTTTTAACCTCTTTGAGCCCAGAAAAGAGTCGACTGCAGAAATCATAAGCAGATACTTCAGCGTTAACAATCATCACTTTGCCAGGGCATTTCATGGTATCATCAATTCTTGGCTGCAACTCAATGACATGTATTATGTTCTTTACTCTTGAAGTGAAAACTGAAAACTATCAGTCATTTACTACTTAGATTTGAACAAATATTTGACAGAAGATTTACATATGTAAGATTTTCTTGAAAATTCAGGAAAAAATGCAACTTATTAAGATTGTTGTTGACAAAAAAAGAGCAATACATATATAGGAAACCCAGAGTAGAACGTCTTGGTAAATTATAAAGAAGATGATCATAATATTGACTTCTGAAGTCAAAGATTATGCTAAGACAGAGCCTTCCATGACAGTCACAGCTTTGCCAGTGAGAAAAACTCTCTGCTTCTCCTTATCATAATGTACCTTGAGTGTTCCACTCCTACTTGAAGCCTAAACAAACAAAATTTTCTGATTATGTAAACTGTTTGAATGCTTCTTCTTTAGCTCCAAAACGGTTAGTTAGTTAAACAGAGAGATAGAGAGAGTAATCACCGCGTAAGCGAGGAAATCAGATTTGTTCATCTTGAGGCTCCAGTAATGTGCTAATGAACAATGTGCACTTCCACATACAGAGTCCTGCAAGAAACAAATAGGTCAAAAGGTAAAGACTTTCAGAGTTTCAGGAGAGTTGGTTTAGTTTCTTCACCTCATTGAGTCCTAATTTAGGAGCAAAGAGTCGACTGCAGAAATCATAAGCAGAGCCTTCAGGAGTAGCAGCAGTCACAATCATCACATTGCCGGGGCATTTCATGATATCCTCCGATCTTGGCTTCAGTTCAGTAACATATTCCCAAGATTGAAGCACAACCTGTTATCAGACGAGATAAGAGCTAAAAATAGAAAGTTTCAAAGGTTCTTTTTACTGAATATATATATGTTTGAAATGCGTACAATAATTTGATCAGTTGAAGTGTGTTTGAGATCTCCTTTCAAGGGTTTAAAGACGAGTTTATCTGTTCTTGTTCCTCTGATGTCAACAATGGTAGCTCCGTTCAAGGCTTTAGAGAATATGGAGACCTCACTGGAGTTGGAGCTGTACTCACATGTAGGAATCACAGGGAAATTTACTTGGATCAAGAAAGATCTTTCTGCTTCACAGTCATATAACCGTTTAGCAGTTAGAATCCCTGAGTGTGTAGAGAACTCGACCGTGTCAGAGGAACCAACCAAATCATTTGAGAAGATACTGTGAGCTGATGCTAATGTTGCATGACCGCATATATCCATCTGTGAAACGTGAAAGTTGAAAATTGGACTCAATCAGAAGGAAGTGAAAGAATGTTTGCAAGATAGACCTCTGCTACTGGGGTGAACCACCGGTGAAGGGAATAAGGAAACAAGTCAACGGAAGGTTAAACTCGGCGGCAAGAGACTGAAGCCACACGTCGTCTCTCTCATGCTCTTGTTCAAGAAAGCACACTGCTGCTTGGTTCCCCTTAAAGGCTGACTCAGTGAATGCGTCAACCTGTTTTCACAACAATCTTGAGAAGCTCAAAGAACTACTCATAGCAAACAAGAAGGGAATGAATGTACATTAGTAGCAAAATACTGCATAAGTAAGAAAGAGACAGAGTTACCACAAAGTACTTCACAGGATTCTTCCTGATCATGGCCATATCTTCACCTCTTCCTTCTGAGATCTAACACTCTCGGCGTTGACTTATATTCAGCAAAACATAACTCTGGAAATCACGTGGAACAGCGTTCCATTTATTAAACAAACAGTAAATAAAAGAGCACGTGAGGCAAGGAGGAGCAACGAAACAAGAGTACTTGTGGTATAATAATAAAATAGGCACATAACCTTAATTTTTATAATGCTGTACAACGTGTGATGCTTCTTAACTAGCTTCAAAACGTTAGTTTTGTGCAGAGAGAGACAAGAATAAGCAGGCTAAGAAATCACACTCGTTCATCTTGAAGCTCCCGTTATGATGATTATGTGGTAATGAACCATGTGCAATTCCATAGATAGAGTCCTCCAGGAACAAAGAGCAAAGCAAAAGAAGTAAAGGTGTAATAAACTTGATAAGATGTTGTATTTGGAGCAACCAATACACATGAAGAAGCCTTTTGAGTTTTGTCTATTCAAAAGTTTCTTTAGCAGGAATGATCAACCTGACAGGTTCACAACTCTGGGTGTGATTAAGCACAGCTACAAATACATTTAGAAAAATATCAAAGAAGTAGCAATTGCAAATCCATGCAAAATATACTACAAACAATATCGAAGATAGCTAATTCGTCTTTATTCATTCCTTACAGGAGCTTGTTTTTGTAAGCAGAAATTAACACTTAAAATAATCTCTGGTTAGACCAAGATATGCCCTTCCATTACAGTCACGGCCTTGCCTCTCAGAAGAACCCTCTGCTTCTCCTTGTCTAGATGAATCCCAATTGTTCCACTCCTCGCCGAAGCCTAACCATATTTCCAAAAAACTCATTCTCTAGGAAGCACTAAAACACTTGCTACAAAAATTAAAGAGATTATAGAGAGAAAGAAAGAGAGAGAGCTTACTTGGTAGGCTAAGAAATCACACTTTTTCTTCTCTAAGCTCCAGTAATGTGCCAATGCACAATGTGCACTTCCACAAACAGGGTCCTGAATGAAAAAAAGGCCACAAACAGTAGAGGCATAAAGATTTCACATTTCTTTGGTTTTTTTTGTTCGAGATTATATAGCAAGTCAAAGCTACTCTTTTTTTTACCTCATCAATACCGAATTTAGGAGGGAAGTAGCGACTGTAGAAATCATAAGCAGATCCTTCAAAGCCAGCAGCTGTCACAATGATTCCGTTGCATGGACAGTTCAATATCTCATCAATTCTTGGTTGCAAATCAATGACAGATTCCATAGATGGAAGCACAACCTACAAAGCAAAGTATCTTGAGATCCAAAACTCCTACAAATCAATAGACAAAAACCAATTTTAAGTATTTTGAAATTTACGATGATGTTGTTGTTCGCCGTAGCTTTTATATCAACAATGGTAACTCCATTCATGGACTTGGTGATCATGGCGGAGGAGTCATCACTGAGATTGATATCAGAAGTTTGAATCACTGGGAAATCCAACTCGATCAAAAAGGATCCACCTTTCACTTCACCATCATTGATCTCTATAGTGTTTATGACTCGCTTGGCTGTGAGAATCCCTGATCTTGTGACAAACTCGACCTTCTCTGAATCAACCAATCCATTTGAGAAGAGACAGTGTGCAGATGCTAAAGTCGCATGACCACAGAGATCCACCTATACAACAAATCCTAATCAAGTTTCAAAATTTCGAATCGATAACAGATTTGGTATAAACCCAAATTAAAAAGCGTCTCAAATGTTGAAAATTCGAAGTCAACAAAGTCAAACCTCGGCATTTGGGGTAAACA